GTCAAACCAATGGTACCGTCTTATGTCCCCCTAGAAACCATACAACTTTTGTCTGAAACATTTTTCTTTTTCAAGCTTGGTTTTCGAGATATTCGATTGGATGGATTAAAATGGGACACCCTGTATATATATACATATATATATACATATATATATATACATATATATACATATATATACATATATATATATATACATATATATATATATATATATATATATATATATACAGGGTCTACCAAAAGTGTGGAAACCCCTAAATATCTCGGAAAATATACGTTTTACAGAAAAGTGTTTCCAACAAAAGTTGTAGGGTTTAGGAAGATCTATATACTGATTCTATCAGTTTGACCTTGGATGGCGTCGTCAAGGTCAGGTCAAGGTCACATTGACTTTTTTAAATGACACCCCCTACATTTGATTGCATATTCTTATAGCTTAATTCAAGAGCTTTCCAAAACACTATAATAATGTTCATTTTTATTAAGTACTTTGCGAGTTATGAGGGTTGAATGATAGAGTAGCGCCGGTATTAACATTATCCAAGGTGTACTACATGGAGGTTACTCGCTCGGATTTGCATCTGTTGTGTGTGTGATCCAGCTAACTAAGGCAAGATCGATTCCTCAACATATCCTCATATTTCGCTGAAGTCAAATTGCCAAAAAATTGCTCCATAAAACGTGTATGAAACGTCTCGTTAGTTCCTTCATTTACCGCTATGTGACGCACTACATGCAGTCTAACTCGCATTTAAAATTCAACTAAGAATGTATAAAGCTATCAAAGAACGAGCACCTTCTAACTTCAGCTTTGAGCAAGCAGAAATTAATTGTTATCGTCCAAATACAACGTACGATTAATTAAAATTAAACGTTTTAAAAATGGCTGGCGACTTGTCGGAACGTGAAAGAATCACTATCCTCATGATGCGTGGATGGGGTGATAACGAAAGATCGTTCTCTGATGTCGTTCGATTATTTAATGACACGTATCCGAACCGTCGAATTAATAAGTCCACTGTGTTAAAAACAATAGAACGTTTTAGACAAACTGGTAGCGTAAGAAATCGCTCTAAGTCAGGAAGACCATTGTCTGCAACCAACGAAGAAAAACAACTTGATGTTCTGCAGACATTTATTGAAGATCCCAATTCTAGTGTTCAGAGAGTCGCTCATACTCACGATATTGCTCCCATGTCGGTTTGGAGAATTTTAAAGAAGAACAAGTTCCATCCATATAAATTGCAATACGTTCAAGAATTGAAAAAGGGAGATGAGGAGCGTCGTATACATTTCTGTGAAAGAATGATGGCACTAATAGATGTCCGGCCCATCTTCCCTTATCAAATTGTTTTCACAGACGAGGCAACTTTTACCTTAACGGGAGAAGTTAATAATCAAAATTTTCGTTTCTGGTCAGATGAGAATCCGAATTGGGTGCGGGAAACTCACACACAACATCCACAAAAAATAAATGTATGGTGCGGAATAATAGATGGCTATTTAATAGGGCCGTTTTTTTTTGAAGAATATTTGAACGCTCAAAGGTATGAGAGATTACTTGTTGATCAAATAATTCCAGCCATACAGAATACTTTTCCAAATAATTTCCAAGAAATATGGTTTCAGCATGATGGAGCTCCTGCTCATTTTGGTGCAGGACCACGTCGTATTTTAAATGAGACTTTTCCGCTACGGTGGATAGGAAGAAGGAACGGAAATGAGGGAGGAGAGGATTGGCCACCTCGGTCACCAGATCTAACTCCTCTTGATTATTATCTATGGGGATATCTGAAGAGTAAGGTTTACAGAACAAAACCTAAAACCATTCACGAATTGATACAGCGAATAAGGGATGAAATGGCTTTGATACCTTTTGAAACGAATCGTAAAGTCATTTCTACATTCTACCAAAGATTAGCATATTGTCAGGAAGTAAATGGCAGCCACTTTCAGCATTTACTTTAACACATTGAAACACATTTGCAATCGTTTGGTGCAACCTAACCTGATCTCTGTATACACGCACCGCACGCACGCACACGCACACATTTCGAACAATTATTATGATAAATGAGCATCCACAAATTTATTTACTGTTTACTATGTCGATTGCTTTCCAGGTCTTTAAATGCTCGATTGTAATTTGGTTGGGTCTTTGCTTTTGCTGACTGGATCCACGACCGATCTTGCCTTAGTTAGCTGGATCACACACACAACAGATGCAAATCCGAGCGAGTAACCTCCATGTAGTACACCTTGGATAATGTTAATACCGGCGCTACTCTATCATTCAACCCTCATAACTCGCAAAGTACTTAATAAAAATGAACATTATTATAGTGTTTTGGAAAGCTCTTGAATTAAGCTATAAGAATATGCAATCAAATGTAGGGGGTGTCATTTAAAAAGTCAATGTGACCTTGACCTGACCTTGACGACGCCATCCAAGGTCAAACTGATAGAATCAGTATATAGATCTTCCTAAACCCTACAACTTTTGTTGGAAACACTTTTCTGTAAAACGTATATTTTCCGAGATATTTAGGGGTTTCCACACTTTTGGTAGACCCTGTATATATATATATTGGATATTATATATATATATATATATATATATATATATATATATATATATTGGATGGAGGATAGTGAGAAAAGAAAAATTTCTGCTAGATCTAGGAATCGCCGCATGTGGCAATAAATAAATAAATATATATATATATATATATATATATATATATATATTTATTAATAAATAAATATATATATATATTTATTTATTTATTTATTTATTTATTTATTTAAATCATTTATATATAAATAATGTATAATATGTAATATATAATATGTAATATATATATTTTTTTTATTTAGGATAATGATTCCCTTCTCGGGATACATGTTCTGTGTTTTGCTTACATCGTGTTTTACGTCTACACCTTTTCTATATTAATTTATACACTTATTTCTTGACTCAGTTTTTTTCTCTCTTTCCTTTTATTGCACAACTTCAGCATCCATTCTATTCCTTTTCCGTCTTCTGCCATTATAAATTCTTCGCTCGGATTGGTTGCTCTTGATTCCGGGCATTCTTTTAATATATGGTGCCATGATTCCTCTCCTCCCTCACACAGCCTGCACATTTTCTTGCCTTCCTTCTCCCAGTATCTATTACCTTTCCATTCGTTTCTGCATCTGAATCTTGCGATTGTTTTCAACTTTGTGCCTTTTCCTTTCCACTCCAAATATTTCGCTCTTTCACTTGTTTTCCATCTGTTGTATTCTTTCATTGATTTCGATTTCTTCATCTTCCTTTCTCTCTTTTCCAATTTTTTCTTTTTGTAGTTGGTTGCCCATTCTTCTATCGTGTTTTTTTCCTGTTCCTCTCTTGCTTTTCTTGTCCACTGGTTTAATCCCTCCTTGTAAAACATCTGCATCCTTCTGCCCCATTGTGTACCCTCCCATTCTATATCGCTAATTTCCCTTCTGCATTCTCTCAATATTTCGTTATCAGTCATTCCTTTTATTTTTTCTTGATATTTTAGCGCTCTTCCTCCGGCTTCTATACTGATTTGTCTATCTTCTTCTATCTTTGTTTCTTCTCTAATTATGTAGCCTGGAGTGCATCTATCTAAGCCTAATATCCATCTTATGTATCTCTCTTGAAGTGCTTCAATCTCCTTCCATTCTTTCCATCTTCATATTTCGACTCCGTATAAGAGTGCTTTTGACCTTAAAACACATAATATTAAACATCATCATTCTCCTGTCGAAGTCTCCTCCAAATTTCCTTTCGCCTATCTCCCAAACTTGTGCCATGACTGCTGCTGCTTTTCTTACTATGTCTTTTACATGTGCTTCATCGGTGTAGCATTTCTTAAGTGTAAATCCCAGATATTTGAACTCCTTGACTTCTTCTATTTTGCTGTCTTTCCATTTCCAGTTCTTTTCCAGTTCCTCCTTAATTCTCTCTTTCTTACAAAAAACCAACATTTTGAATTTATCTGCATTTAGAGTCAGTTCCTTTTCTTCTAAATATCTTTCTAGGCTTTTCAGCATTTTCTTCATTTCTCTTTCCGTCTCCGCCATCATCGCTAGGTCGTCCGCGTACGCCAAAGTGTATATTCTCCTTCTTCCCAGTCTTGCGCCTCCGTCTTTTCTTTATAAAGTCCTCCACATCCGCAATAAATGTTATGAACAGGAGTGAGCTCAATGGGCATCCTTGCCTCAGACCTCCCTCTGTCCAGAATTCCTCTGTACATTTGTCTCCTACGATTACCCTGTTGATCGTTTCTTCATAAATGTCTTTTATTCTGTTGATTAGTTTCCTATTTATACCGCGTTCTTCCAGAACCTTCCATAGCTTCTTTCTGTTCACCTTATCGAACGCTGCCTTCAGGTCTGCAAAGAAAAGAAGACGTAGAGTTTTCCCTTCTTTTTCATTATCGTTTTTTCCGCTGTTATTTTCAGTGCAAATATGTTGTCTATGCAACTTCTCCTTTTTCTGAAACCTGTTTGCGTTTCTGGGAGCAGCTTCAGCATCTCTCAACTTCCTTCCTCAGTTTTTTTTCCAGAATCATTGCATAAATCTTGTATGCCGTGTCTAGTAATGTTACTCCTCTGTAGTTTTTCACTTCTTTCCTGTCTCCTTTTTTATGTATTGGGTATATTATGCCCACTTTCCATCCTCTTGGCAGTTTCTCTCCGTTCCATATTTTTCTCATTATTTTCCTCAATTTTTCTTTTGTTTCCCTGTCTGCGTTTATCCACATTTCGTTTTTGAGTCTATCTTCACCTGTTGCTTTCTTTTTCTTGAGTCTTCTTACTGCGTTTTCCATCTCTTTCTCTGTGATTCCCTCTCCCTCCTCCTTTGTTTCTTCCTCTCGTGGTACTTCTTGGTTATCTCCTGCTTCTTGCTCGTTTCGTGTATCGTTATTTTCTCTCGTCTCACTTCCCTCCAGTAGTTCCATGAAGTGTCTTTTCCATTGTTGTTCCTCAATTGTTGTTCCTCAAATTGTCGTCTGGCTTTTCTCGTCGACCTCTCTCTTTCTTTATATATCTCCATATTTCTATTTCATTTTGTATCTCTGCGATTTTGGTCTGCTCTCTTTCTCTCTCTTCTTTCTTCTTTGTTTCGCAGAGCTTGTTATGTCTTTGTTTTTCTTCTATGAATTCTGTTCTCTCTATGTTTCCTCTTCTCATTTGTCTGAGAGATCGGTTCAGTTTCGTTTTGCTGTTTCTGCAGTCCTTATCCCACCAAGGTTTCTTTCCTACATTTTGTGTTTTGTTCTTGACCTTCTTTTTGTTTATTGCTTTTCTGATTTCTTTTGCCAGTTCTTCCCATTCTTCTTGGATTTCTTCTTTTTCTGCTTTCCTCTTCTTGAGATTTTCTTGGTATATTTTTATTCCCTCTTCTGTCCAATCTTCTATCTCTATCTCTTTTACTTCTTCTCTATTTCTTGTTTCCTCTGTTGTCGCTTTCAGTTCTATTTCTAACAGTTGGTGGTCTGATTCAGTCCTTTCTCCTATCCTGAAGCTTTTTATTTCTTCCCATGTTTCCGTGTTACAAATTGCATAGTCTATTACTGAACTTCCTTTTGCTCCTGTGAATGATCCATTCTCCTTGGTCATCGCCTTCCTTGTTTCCATTTAGTAAACCTAGTCCCATCTTCTCTATTTTTTCCAGTAGGTCAATTTCTTGTTTATTCAGTATTTTATCCTTCGAGTACTTCCTACTTCTTTTCTCTTTTTCATCCCATACTAGTTCTCCTTTCTCTGCTGTTCTAGCGTTGAAATCTCCTCCCACTATCATTTTCTTCCATCCTTCACTTTTGATTATCTCTTCCAGTTCCTCTAGTGTCTTCTTCTTTCCTTCTCTATTGTAAATTGAGATAATTTTCCATTTTTCTCCGTTGATTTCTAGACTGTAACTAATTATTCCCTGTGTTTCTTTTTGTACTTCTTCCATTCTGATGTTTTTCTTCACTCCTGTTTTCATACCTCCCACTCCTCTGCCTCTCTTCTTGTCTTTTGCTGCGTATTACCCATTTGTATTCTTTTGGCATCAGGGCTTTCATTTTTTCCATCCTTTCTCTTCTATCCACGTCTCCGTGAAGTTAATTATGTCAAAATCTCGTACATAGTCCCAAAACTCTTCGTCTTTTTTTGCGATTCCTGCCGTGTTCCAGAACATTGCCTTAATCTCTTTTTGTAATTCCTTGCCGACTTTGCATTCATTTATATTATACCGGGCCGTTATTGTTTTATTAGGTTTGCAGGACTTTGCCTGTTCTGAAAAAACTCAGTCCTTCCTCTTCCTTCCATATGAAAGTTCTTTCGTTGACCATTAGTTTCCTGTAGCCTATCTTCACTTAGTCTCCTCGTTTTCTCTTCATTTTCGCAATTTCTGCTATCTCTTTTTGCACATCTCTTTCCCTTTTTCTTAAGTCGTTTTCAATGTACAGTTTCTTACCTTTCAACTTACTTTTCTTTGAGAGTATTTCTTTTTTCTGCTGCCAGCTTTTTAGTTTCGCTATAAGCATTCCTTTTTAGTTTCGCTATAAGCATTCCTTCTCGCTGCTCTCTTCTTATCCAGTATCCTCCACGTCCGCCTGCAGTTCGTGTCTTATTATATGTTCTATCGTTCTCTTGGGTGAACCTTCTCTCGGTAAATCCTCTCCTTTCAAAGTGATATTATTCCTTCTTTCTTTTCTCTCTCTTGCCTCCTCTTTCTCTTCCAGTTGTATCATTCTTGTCATTTTCTTCTCCAATTGTTCTTCTTTGGTCTCCAGTTCCTTCAATCTGTTTTCTATTATCCTCTTTTCTTTCCCCCATTCCTCTTGTTTCTTTTTCTATTCTTCTCTTAAGTCTTGTATTTCTTGTCTTATTATTTTATTTTCTTTTTTATCTATTTTGTCCATGTCTAGCCCTTCTTCGTTTTCTGTACTCTTCTCCTCTTGCGTCCCTTCTGCTGCTTTTTCTATTCTTTTAGTTGGGGGTGACCTGCCCACTGCTCTTGTTTTTTGGAACTTCTCAAGGAGTTCCTTCTCTGTTCGTATCCTATCTTCCTTTTCTTCCCTCTTCCTCTTAAACGAGTCGACTATCGATTCGAAACTGTTAGCCTTTTGTCTTCCTAGATGCTCTGCGTGGGTCGGCCTCCCTTTTCGTTTTGACTCCTTTTGCCTTTCCGGGCCTTCTCCTGTTTTGTTCATTAATGGCTCTCTGTCTCTCCTCGCTAATATAGAAATAAAAAAATCCATGTATCCAAAGAGAAATCCTTCTTCTATCTTCTCAATGTAACCGTTTTTGCATTCACAGCTTTGTCTTCCTCTCCTGTAACTCCGCAACTACTGGTCCTCTTACTCAGCATTCACTGGACTGCTGTGGCCCTGAGGATTGCACTACTTTAACGTTTCTTCTTACAAGAGTGAATCACGTGATCCTTTCCTGAATTTTTCGAATCTCTTATGAAATCGCGCGAATGCCAATGAACCGTTTATTTTCGAAGCAGAAGCTTCGATTATTGACACAATATTATCGATATTGACCTTCTCTCTTTCCGAGAGTCAATGTTAAGGCGACGTTTTCATCGCTCGAGAGTTCGTTAAACGTCACTTCTTCCGCGAATGTTAATTTGCAAATCGCGTCACGTTCTTTATTTGAATTTATTCTATTGTTTTTTGCTATTGAACAGCTCTCACTTGAACAACTTCATGAAGACGAACATAATCACTAAAAATTCCAACTAAGAATGGAGTCTCTGAGCTAAGAATATTCACATAAAAAGATTGCAAAAAGCCACGTCATGTTTCAACGCCATTGGGCACGTATATATAATATGTAATATATAATATATAATTTTATTTTTCATTCACAGTTGACTATATGTGCATACATATTATGTCAATTTTATAATTTAGTTTCATAAGTTAGAGAGATAATTTTTTTGCAAGATGTATAAAGTTTTATATTAAAAAATTGAGAAAAATACATTTTTATTATAAAATAAAATATATTTTCAAAAAAAAGAAGAGGAAATAAGAGAAAAGAGAATTCGAAAATTCTTGAACACAAAGAATCTGGAACATGATGTAACTTTTCTTCAAAAAGTCATTAAGTATGTTATAAAATCTTCAATGGTTATAATTGTTTTCATTTTTATAATTGATCATATCGATTACATATCATCTATTTATTAGCGATGCTTGCGACTTTCTTTTCTTCTTTTATATCGCTTTTGTTTTTGTCTCTTTTTCTCTCCCTCCAGTCGCATTTGCACGATCGATCAATCATTCGCGTTTTTCGACGCGTCACGATGCGTCGTCGACGCGTCGATGATAACGGATCGGTAACCGCGGAATGTGACATTACGGATTTCGCAATAAATGCGGGGACACGCACGGACGATTCTCCATACAGCGAGTCGAGAGAGCTTGGTCATGTAACAACCGCAATGCAGGTTTTTATACGCGACACGCATTTCGGCACATTTGTAGATATCCATGTCGCGGACACGCACTATGTAACATATAACTGGTAGCAGTTTGCTCATTGATGCGTGATAGTTCGCAAATGTCAGCATTATAATCACTTAAAAGTAGAATGTCATGGATTGAATAATTAAAGAACAAATTAAATTTTGCTTTACAAACTTACTTGCATTTCTGCTTGCGTTTTAGTTTGTAACGACACTTATGATTAGCAGAGCAGTAATTATTTTCATATCTATAAATTACGAATTTCCGATTTTATGATATAAAAATAAAATATAATTTATTAATTTATTAAATAATTTATTAAAGTTTGAAATTTGTCGTCGAAATTTTTTATATGTTTTATATGTTTATATGTTCAAACGTGTAGATAATAGTAATTTTTTAGCTTTTCATGAAATCTCCAAATCTACAAATTAGTTACAATAAAAGATAAAAAAATTTATCTATTATTCTATAATAGTTACTGCTCAAATTGAATGTGTGTCAAATATTTCTTGGAAATAAATCTATTATTATATATCTATTTTTAAACAATTTTCTACGGATTAAATGCATAATTTTTAAATTACAATTGTACAAATTATTCATAGAAATCTTTTTAAATAACATTACGATTCTTGAATTTGTCATAAAAGCATTATTTCTACATTCATGCGAGATATATTTCGCGATTTATTGTTAGTTAATCATCGAAATATCTTATATTAAGCGCGAAAAGATTAAAAAATCTCCATTATGTAATATATTTATTACACGCATGTAATTAAACATCTTACAAAGATTTATCTTATAGACATCTATAGATGTTTTCTAGCAAGAAAACACAGAGACACTGTGTCATAAATGAACACATAATATATTGATACATTATACATAATATATTGATACATTATACATAATACATTGAACACATAATATATGGATGCAAATGGATGTATTTAATGGAACAATTATAATTTCTAATTTTTAATATAGTCATTAGTTCGCTCTGATGCAAATTTTTTTTACTCTCATTTTAAAGTAACCTTAAAAAATATTTTAAATTTTTGAAACAATTGTGAATACACTAATTTAATATCAAATCGAGAAATAGAGAAAGAAAGAAGGAAAGAGAAAAAGAATCTATTAATTTAAGAATAAATTATATGTATATAATTAATAATTAAAGTTTATAATTTCAAAACAAAGTAGTCTTTATTTTTAAATTAATAGATTCTCTCTCTCTCTTTCTTTCCTTCTCTATTTCTCGAATTGATATTAAATTAGTGTATTCACAATTGTTTCAAAAATTTAAAATATTTTTTAAGGTTATTTAAAATGAGAGTACAAAAATTCATATATATGAGAGTAAAATAAATTTATATATATATATGAATTTATATACTAATCAATAAATTTATTAATCATTAATTGTGATTAATTAAATTTTTATAAAATAAATTTTAAATTATACTTATTTTAGTGTATAAATTTTTACAAAACAATTTTTTGACAGATAGAGACATTTTTTCAGATATTTTTCAGAGAAAGCATGTTTATAAATGACGCAATTATAATAAAAATAATTTCGATATTTCTTAAATCTTGATATTTTTATAAATGCTTAAAAACACTAAAAAAACTGTTTTGATAATTATATAGTTATTTATAAGCACATTTGCAAATATTGTTTGAATAACGTTCCAGTCGTCATAAGAATAATATATGTTATTCATATCATTATATTCTTTATATATTATATAAATGGCCCGTTTATTGTTGGCGACAAAATGAAATAAAAAAAGGGGAAAAATAAATAATATCCAAATATCCAAATACAACCGTACAATGGCTCAGATTGAATTAAAAAAATAAATAAATAAAACATATTATGCAGTAAGATGACAATGTCGTACATTTTTATCTATCTACACGTTCCATATTTAATGCAAGAAACACGAGGAACACGAACACGTTTGTATGTTGCACTTATACGTGACACTTGACTATATACGGGATGTTCCGTTGGGAAAGAAAGCGAGTATACAAGGTACAGTCGGAGACAACTGATCCCTCGTGTGTACGCATTGCGCTGCGACATATTCGCGTGCGTTTTTGGATTTCTGTGACACGAGCGACGCGACGGACGTTGGCTTCGAGCTGAAAGCAGCGCGACGCGACGCAACGCGACGCGACACGTCCGTTTGACGTCGAATTAACGCTATTCGGCGAACGCGATAACGTCGCGTGCGAGTTCACTCACCCTTTGCGGTTGTCACTGATCACACTTTTTCGAATTCAAACTCGCGACGAAAGAATTACGAATCGAGAGATATAAATGGGATCCGCAAATTTATCTAGAAATGTAATTTATATTGTTCACATTAAAAATACTATAATTTGCATTGTATGATGTATGACTTCCTTTTCATAGTTTTAATATTCAATTTTAATTTTTTTACAGTGAAGCACAACGTATAATATGTATATGTAAAAGTGTGAGTAATGAAAAACAATAAAAATTCGTTTAATTTTAATTTAGTTAAATCTACATATTATGTGTGTGTGTATGTGTTATTAATTTGTATATTTTTCATACGTCTTATAATTAAGAAATATTTGAAAATATTAAAAAATATTTGAAATTATTGTGAGATTATCGTGTTGTTTTGTAACGAATATTAATGTGATAAATCGTTGAAAAAACGTTTTGCAAATGCAATTCTATTCCCACATGTATATCTAAATATTTTTCTAATCTTTCTTATTATTAGGAATTCAAACAAAACTTAGAATTTATTTTTCCAAATTTATATATTTCCAAGAAGATTGCGTTCGATTTTTTATATTTTTATATTATTGTAGTATTTTTTATATAGTCCAGTGATATTATAAAATTTAATATAAATTATGTTTATATCATTAATCATAGATAAAAAAATCGACTTTTAATTTTTTTTGATATAGCAGTTTTCATTCTCGTTATCTATCTAATACTTATGAAGAATATATTAATGTGGTTTGTACATATACAGTATAATAGCATAAATTTTTTAATACAAATTTTGTAAAATATAATTTTTATTGTCTTATATTATTTTATATCACTTAATACTATTTTATGCGTTTCTGAAATCATTTTATATTTTCGATGATAAATGCATTCTTTACATCAGCGCTCACACGCTGCACGTTTTTCTCAAGCAAACGATTTCTCGGTTGCGATTCTAGTTCAGGATATCGAAGAGTAGTCGTCCTTATACGAGAAAGCGGCAACAGAGATTCCGAAACGTTCGAATCGTTTTCAACCCTCATTCTCCTTTCTAGACTCAAGTCTAGACTTGAATTCGAAGGTGTGCA